TCTAAATATGTTTCTTAGCCAGGGAGATTTTTTTAAATGCATTATCGATCAATTCTATATCTATTTGAGTTGTTAGAAAGTGTGGCTTCTGACACATTTTAGTATTTTACGGTTATGTATTGTTGCTACTAAATGCTAAAGAATTATCATTTTCATGTATAAATGTTTATCATCCTGAACAGTTTAGAAGACTGACAACAGCTACCATCACAAAGTTTGTCAGCCTACAGATGTGCACAATGTGTGCGGTTTCTATTTTTTCACACATTCATACTTAAAAAAAATGCAAGTAGGGCAGAAATGTTGCGGTTATTATCTTTTTTTTGCATGGAGAAGGTCTTTTCTCAAAAACAGAGCACGACAGAAAACAGATGAGGCCAGCATTTGTCTTCAGTTTGTCTAATATCAAAAAAGAAATGTATCAGATTTATCTTCAGCTCTAACAAAGCACACAATTATCAGATCTCCTGCTGAAAAGTACTTTCTGGCACTGCCTCTTTTGTTTTAGTTTGTGGGCTTGGAGTTAACGATGGTATAGTATACTGTAATTTTTTCCGTTGTGAGATGACTAAAGGATTATCTTATTTTCCATAATCTTTAGGCATTAGTGTGTGAAGACAAGAGCAGACCATTGTTCAACAGGGGTGTGAAACTGATTCACAGCGTAAGATTAAAGAAAAGGGCAGTGGTTCCTCGAGCCTTTAACACATAAAATGTAATACAATGAGATGATTCAGAAGATGTGCCCCATAAGGTCTCTCTTAAAAGGATTCTGAATAAATAAGAAAGGTAGTCCCACAAATAGATTACTTTAACTGAATCTTTTTGCAAAGTACAAGACTTTCTACGAAACGTGACAAAATCCCCTCGCTGTCCTGTGTGGTTTACACACCGAACATTAAAAAGATTTACAGAAAATCAAACGCTAGTGTGAACCTTGCCGTACATTACCACATATTTACCACTTTCAGTATGTCTTTGAGGTACAAAAGAACAACAACTGAAAGCTTAATTTATCTGAGGAAGTGAGAGCAGTTGCAAACAGAAGTCTGGGCCTAATCTTTCAGATTTCAAAGCAGAAAAAAAACAGCCAGCATACATAGACATAACATGCAGTCAAAAACATAAGACTGTAGACATCAGAAGGCATTTGAGCAAAAACAACATGTCGAGAGTAAAAGGGTCATGCAGGTGCAAGTTTGCATAGATCCTGCCTAAATATACATGTACTAGATGTGGGCAGCACAGTAACTACAGGTGTTTCATCTCACAACCAAAAGTAGGTCTTAAACAACGACGTTGTGATTGTTTTGACGATAATTCTCCCTATTTACTGCATGGCTTGATTTAAGAAATGTAAGAAAATAGTGTAATATGGCCATGGTTATTTATTTAGTTATTTATTTTTTGGCAACAAGGGTGAAAGTGAAACTGATTATTTGCTATTAATTACTCAACCATATTCTAAATAAAGAAAGGGGGAAATAGTTCTCGGGTGAATTTGTTTTATCATATATAGAGCTACCAAAATGTCACCAAATGTGTGGTGTACGCTTTAGGCTGTACTTTTACCCTCCACTACAAATGTTTTAGAAAATGGATATACATTGTAAGTTGTTAAAATAACTGTGAGTTCAAGTGTAGTCTGCAACAAGACTTGACGACAATGTTTAATATGATTTTCAGAACCACTGCCATGAGGCTTTTTGAACATAAAACTGCTCAGAATATAGAAAACTAAGCGTGAAATAATCACATGTGCTCCCCACTGTGAATGAACAATAGTTGTTTTCAAATGGGCTGAATTGATCCGATGGGGAGCGCTGTGGTTAGGCTTCCTGGGACTTGGAATTGTAGCTGGGGCTGGATCCAATGGTTACAATGAAAGCCTCACACAGTCCACTGACATGATAGATGAAAGCAAAACAGAGCAGAGAGTAAAGATGATCCAAGAGAGGAAGGCGCAGAGAAAAAAAACTAGCGAGCGCACATGTAAGCAAAATGCATACATGTCAGGACAAAAATATTATAAACTGCAGAAAAAGGAGAAAGGTCCGCACACTGACACAAAAGCTCTTCTAGGGACAAATTAGCATCCGTTAAACAGTATGAAACTTGCATTGGATTGCTGTTTCCAGGTTGTCTATATATTGTATCTGTCCCTATCAAATAAAACAACTGTTCAGCTCCCAAATAAGCATAAACAGGGCGACGTTTGGATCCAAAGGAACGATGGCAACAGAAGCTTCTAACAGATTTTGCCATAATTAAGTGAGAGAGTAGTTAAAGGCGGTAAGTGAAACACTTAAAGGTGAAATTAGATTTTTGTTGGTTAGCCTGTAAGTTACAATCATTTTCAGACCCTAACTATGATGGATAACTCTGATTTTAAAATTCAGGGGTATGGGTATGAATATACCTGCATTTTTTTAAAGCTTAAATAAAGATATATCTTTTTATCAAGATCACACAATAATGTGTCTGCAAAGGTTCTCGCCTCGGAGGTTAAAGTGCTTTCTTAAAAAAATCAATTTGTGGGGTGCTAGTGGCGCAGTGGTTAGAGCGTGCGTCCCATGTACTGAGGCTGTAGTCCTCCAAGCGGACGGCCCGGGTTCAAATCCAACCTGTGGCTCCTTTCCCACGTCATTCCCTACTCTCTCTCTGTCTCTCTCTCTCTCTCTGACTTCTGACTCTATCTACTGTCCGATCTCTCCATTAAAGGCACAAAAAAATCTTTAAAAAAAAATAAAAATCCATTTGTTTCAAGAAAACGTAAATTATTACAGTATCAGACAATCGCAGTCAGAGCGGTCCACTGTTGGCTAAGATGTGGTGCCGACAGAGCTGAAGGGATTGTTATAGTTTACTTACTGTAGAGCCTACTCTGCTGAATAAAACAGCATGATGAATCGCATTGTTTCCTGCAATATACATTCTGTAATAAAAGTTTATATATCAGGGAATGTCTGAAAAACAAATGCATATATCAATATTTCTGTGATAGGCCCACATCAACCTGATAGGAATTCAATACGCCTACAACCTATACTAAAGCTTTTTTTTTTTTTTTTAATCTATTTGAAAATATAAATTTTAATAGATCATTAATTAAACAGATTAAGATTTTTGAGAAAATTGTAAAACATGTTTATCACATTTTGCCACATTTAGCCTGGTGTCTCATTTGGTCTACCAAGAGCAAACTTTTGACAAGAGACAAAGCTGCAAAAGTATGATTCCAAAGAAAGTTGGCCATGTTAACAGTTAACAAACTTGTATGTCTGGTTGAATGGCTCTTAATGTACAATGCAGTGTAATGTCGTCACTGCACCAGAGCAATTACACGCTCTGAACAAAGGTATAATGAGCCTTGTTATATGAATGTACAGTATACATGACCTTAATGATCTACACTACAGTACTGTTAGTAATGTAAACTAACACCTGAAGGACAGACAGACTTTAGAGATCCAAGTCATGTGTGAATGGATGCTCGGTTCACCTGTAACTCGTGACACTTCGCTGACAGGTTGAAGTGATTACGGTGGCAATACAAAGACAAAGTGATTCACTCTGAAGTCATTCATTGATCCTTATTGGCCCGCACAATCTGCTGATGTGGCTGCCTTCAGCGGGCTCTTGTTTGTGTAGCTATCACAGCCATAATAACACCGGTGAACAGAGCTAAACGCTGACCCATACGTGGTGGAGGGGGGGGGCTCCTGTTACAGAGCTTTCACAATCTGTTGAACTGATTCAAGATCAGTATCATGGGGGAACCGACGTGGTGTCACCTAACCTTCCCTCCGAGCCCAGAGAACATAAATAATCTAATAGAAAACAGAAAACGACACTCTGTTAGACTATCAAACTGAGATATGTACGTTACAGAATAAGCGCAGAAAAATAAACCGTATAAACCCGAAAAGTGCTCGAAAATATGATAAAAAATACAATAAGTAAGCTCCCAGGCTGCAATCAATGTGCCAGTCCAGTCTTTTAAAGGGGGCCTTCCCCTGACCACCTAGCCCCCTTAGCAACAATTTCTTCGACAGTTTGACGATAAATGAGCCACGACCAAGTCTTACCTTGATGATTAAAAAGCCTCCACAGCTTCGTGAATAGTATCCCCATGGCTGACGGTGATAGTTTTTTGATGCCAGCTTGTAGGAATCCGCTGTAACTCAGCTAGCCAGCGTTGATGCTACTCAGTGCTATCAACTTTACCCAGCTGGCTAGTCGGTCGACTACACCGACGAAAAGCCGTTAAAGCTTTTTAGAACAACCGCCATACTTGTGTGAACTAGTCGTGTTAATGTCTGTACCATACGTTGTAAATTAAGGTCGAGAAGTGGAAAGTACTGCCGAAAGCAAAACCAAAACGTAAACCACTGTGGCTGGTTAGGTGGTTAGAATCAGCTGGCTGTTGTGGTGAACGCGCTGCGCTTGTTAGCTGTCAATGCTGCGCATGCGTACTATCACTGTCTTGTTGGCAGTATTATGAACTCGGTGAGTAAGTGAGAGCAATAAATCAAATATGTATCTATTCTAAAATTGTATATTTATGTGCAAATATTTTTTTAAATTAAAGACATTAAGTAAGTGATTTGCGGTTTAGAAAATAGGTTTACTATTTACAGGATAATTATTTGTAAATTTCCATTTTAAATAGGGATAAAAGAAAATATTCACAGAATGATTATACTGCATTTATTTGGGAATTTGACATTATCTAGCTGCAATATTAGATTTTGTTTATTTAAAAAAAATATAAAACATTTAGTTGTGATATGTAAATTAGATTAGTCGAATTTCAACTTCATCTGCAACAAGTTTCAAGCAGACTTTTATTAAAGCTAAAATGCTAAAAAGTAGATTCATCATGAAGAAAATATTTTACTACATCTGCAGTTATATCAGTCTGTATTAAAAAGGCACATGAAGAAATAAGATAAATGAAAGTTGTGTATATTCTTTTGAACAGATAACAGTACAATCCATAACAGCATAAGGGCAGTTTATTTCATTACAATTGTAAAATGACAGTGCACACAGACTTCTAATCAATGCATCATTCTCTCACAGGCAGTATTTAACTCTTATTTTAAATTGTTGCTCCAGAGATTGAAAACAACAACAGTAAAAGCTACTGATTATGGCATATCAGAAGTCTCCATGTCGAACCCTGTTTTCCAGAGTCACTGAAGCACAACTATAAACGGAAAGGAAACAAAAACGACCATTTTAATCACATGATTCAAGGATATGTTGTTTAAAAGTTTCTGATATATCAATCATGTCTTTTATTTTGGCAGCATATGCAAGTCTATTTGATTAAAAGTTTTGGAAAACGCTCTAAATTTCCAGAAAAAGTACATGTAAAAGACATTTTGACAAATGCAGTGCAGTCCTACCTAAGTGCTTTCACATCATTCATTAAGAGTCTTTAATGAAACTCAGATTTATACAGTGACAAAGCTGTAGCTGAAAGGGTTAGCTGCCCCCTCTGTTAGGGTGTAACAGAAAGGGGTCTGTTAAGATTGCTACTCAAAGAAAATATGTCAATTTCTTTTCATAAAATCTGTAATAATAAAATATGACAGAGGAATTTTATGTTGTTTTCCTAGTGCTGGAACGTTTTTGAAAGGTTTTGACAGAAGAAACAACAGGAATGTTTTATCTTATCATATACTATAGACTCTTCCCTTTGATTATTATGTCTGTATTTACACATGGAAGCCCTCAAATATCAGTCTCTCTCCCAATTGTCTTACTCAGAAAAAATGCCCTGCCAAGCATAAAACAGATAACAGCAGTTGATAAATGTATGGAATATATATGAAAAAACATACTGATAAGACCTTACTTGTGTTGTCTTTCTTTTTGGGACACCTAAAACATAATCAGTAATCAAAGTTCCCTGTTAGCTAGGAACATAAACGCTACATTTGTCAGAAAACGTATATGTCATCTAAATTACCTCTCATTCCTGAGGTTTGGTGTTTTCAAATATATTAATATCTCATAGATTCTTATCAATATATTTGTATTTATCTTGATATGGATACTGACAAATGTGGCATAAAGAAATAAAAAAAACCTCTTTCCTGAGGTTCCACATGATTTTTTTATTTCCGTCTTAAAATGGTTTATGAGAAAAAATGGAATTAAGAAATCACTAAAAGAGGACACAAAGAGCTACAGTATGAACCCTGAAGAGAACAAAACACCATCCATGTTCAAAAGCAAACGTGTTAAACTCTGGATTCGGGAACAGGCTTCCACAGGATTTATTACACTCACATCGAGGACAGTGGCAAACAAACTTGAGGAGCATTAAAAATGCATTATATTCTGCTTCTAGCAACTCCTGGACGCGTGCAAACAGGTTCTGTGCTCCTCATCACCGCTGGATGCTCTTGCTGTAGTGAGCTGTACAGTCCTATACCTGCATGCTACAGTAACAGCTGAGATGGCAGGGAGGGTCCAGAAGGGCCTATATCGAACGCCTGCTCATGTACTGAGCTCGCAGGCCATGTCTGGGGAATATTTAAATCAGGTCCAGCCTTAGTCCTCCCTTTCAAACTTTTCTAATCTTGTGCTACTTTCAGATCCAGTCCCTTCCCTTGTTTCACATCAAAGCAAGAAGCAGGATTCTTATTCTTTAGGTTTATATGCTCATTTGTCACGAGCCAAGGCCAGAGGGAAAAAAGGTACTACACATCAATACAAGGTTGTTACAGTCCAAATGAGTGTAGTAGTTTTCTTCATGTTACAGCAAACAGCCTTGACTCTTGTGTTCATAGTGGTTGGTAAGAGAAAGACAGGTCTAAACTTAGTTTACACACAGCCAGCGCTCAGAGCCGCTGCCTGGAGTCGTGGTTGTAGCCGCCTGGGGAGCCCCGGTTACGATGAGGCTTGTATGAATCCTGGTAGGGGTCCTGGTAGTCTTCCTCTACCAGAGGGGAGTGGTCTCGGCTATGCTGAGAGCCAGAGGACAGACGGTTGCGATTCTTCCGCGCGCGTTCATTGTGGTAGTTCTCGTCGGCAGGCATCAGGCTGCGGCGTTCAATGGGGGAGTGGTCTGTTGTTGTGTGGTTGCTGTTGCGGTTTCTTTGGGCCTGTTTGAGAAAGAAAAAAAAAAACAGATTCTGGATGGTGTCGTGTTTGTTACAGCTGAATATACACAGTGATATACACGACTCATGGTGCGGGACGTGATGCATAAAATGGCTTAAGGATTGTAAATGCTGCAAAGGTAGGAAGTTTAAGACGAACAGGAAGTGATCTGGCTGACTAGTTATGAAGTATTGTAATGGCTGAAGGAATCTCAGCTATTATAGCCATGCTGAGAAATCTATTTTTTCAACTGACTGCATTAACCATGAACAATGGTGAGACTTCTACTAAAAGCTGGAGAGATTTGGTTGTAACGTTCCAAAATGTTCCTCAATGCGCTCAGTATTCAGTCAGTATAACAATTCAAAAAAATTGCAGAGAAAAAAAGAAGGTCAAAATTCACTTGTCCTGGGAGCACGTCGCAGAATGGCTAGGGCGCGCACCCCATGTACAGAGGCTGTAGTCCTCGAAGTCGACTGTCCCAGGTTCAAATCCGACCTGTGGCTCCTTTCCTGCTCATCATTACCCACACTCTCTTACTCTCACTCCCTGATTTCAGACTCTATTCACTCTCTTATCTCTACAATAAAGGCATGAAAAGCCCCAGAATAAATCTTTTTTTTTTTAAATGCACTTGTCCACTGCCAGTTCATAAATGCAGTGTGTATCAAACATCCAAAGTATCAAGAATAAGAGCTACCACTAAATCCGTCAATCAGCGATAAAATCTCGAGGAAAGCAGTCCAACCTTCAGGTGTCTAGAAAATACCGAGGCTATGTTGAAACGGCTGGCAAAACTTCCTCATGTGATCCAGATCAGATTCTTTTACGACAGTTTTAATTAGACAAGTCACATGGAATCTGATCTTAAAACACAGTCTTCATTCAATGTCATGTGCTGTGGATGATTTGTATTCAGGAAATGTGTTTCATCTGTGTGATTGTTCCTCATATTGAGTGCAAGCGTGTCTTTTTAACTTTGATCCACCGAGTAGTGACTGTACGCAAACACGTTGCTGATCATTAATCGGGGGGAGTTCTGGCTTTTAACTAACGACCAAAAGAAAGAAGGAGAATTCAAGGCAGTTCTTCTTTTTTTTCTCTTGTTTGACAAGTTCACCTGAATGGCAGCAGGATATGGGGAGAGCGCTGTGGAGCCCAGATTGCGTCCCAGCAGGGGGTTGAGTGGTGTGCTTAGTGAAGTGTGTGTAGCACGCCAGTATGCCTCCAGGTACTCTGCCAGGTGTTCACAGGCATCCTCCAGCTGGTTCTCATCCAGGATGATATCAAACATCTCCTGTGTTAGAATAGAAAGACGCTGAAGTGTAGCTGCCGTTCCTGCATATGTATTTCTTTTCTCAAGTCTAACCACTTTTTTTTTTTTCCTGGATTTAAAAGGGTGTTGGAAGTTTACTCACAGTAGGACACTGCGATAGTTTTTCCGCCGCAACAAGCTGCACGTTCAAGTGTTTGCTTTGAGATTTCCCTCTTGATTTGATCAGGCGCTGGAGTACCTGTGGGGACGCAAATGCAGAGAAGAAAAAGAGCAATAAATGATCTCTAATTGTGGAATAAACCCCATTTTAAAAAGGCTAGAAGTCATGCCTCAGGGAGAAGCATGGATTGGTTTCCTCATACTTCTTGTTGAAATGTTCTTCTTATTTAGCTCTTTCTGTGCAGCTTTAATGCAGATCTTTTTTTTTTTAAGACATTTTACAGTAGCCATTGAGAATGCAGCCCGGGTTTATTGGATGGCTTAGCAGTATCAAAGCTTTCAATCTTACCTTAGGCGAGGACACTTTAACATGGACGATAATTGGTGCTAATGAGGTCTTGATGAGCTGTGCTGGATGGTTAATGGTGTCTGCATCCAACACGACCAGCTGCAGAGACCTGGCCAGCTCAAAGATCCTTTCTATTTCACTCTGGACCTCCGCTACAGGAACACAACCACAACAACAGAAAGCAGAGCAGAGGAATGAACAAAGAGAAATGCGAAGGTAACTTCACACGTCCACATGGCCACCACCAACATGACATGCACATCATTGAGTGAGGCAGTTCCTGTAGCTTTACCAAGGCTGGAGCGGGTGTTGGATCTCTCAATGATGGCCCTCTTACTGGGGTTGTTTAGTACTGACCTCTTGGCCAACGATATGTCAGCTGTTACCCTTGTGATGGATATCCTGAAACAACACACAACATACATGTCATACATAGCAACGTGACAGCAGGATGATATACTGTACAATTGATTCTGCATGCTTTTGGATGCTCACCTCCCGTCAAACCTGTGTTTCAGGAAGTCAAACAGCGCCTTCTGCATCATATCTGTCACCTGCCGGGGGACACGGGATGAAAAGGAAAAAAGGATGCAATGTTATTAAAATGTAGATGAGGCAAAGAAGCCAAAAAGGTGTCAGGCAAGTTTCAAGCTAAACAAACGAGTCTCACAGAATCAACGTTCTCCTGCCATTAACTCTGAATATGCGACGGGGAAGAAAACAAGTAAAAGTGACCACTTGTTAGACATTCATTTTACACATTTTTGTCCATTCAGGCCACCGTCTGTGATTTACAAACTTGACAGAGCAACTTGTTTTTCTATCTGACTCCCTGCAAAGTCCACTGCACAGGGGAAAAAAACAGGCAATGACAGTGACTTTGGCTGATGAACATAAATGCCATGCTGAGACAACAGAAATTTAATGTGAGGCTGTTTTTTTTCTGGTGAATTAATTGGTCGTTAAAGGCAGACAGTCATCCAATTAGAAAACACGGATACATGAATGAAAAGATGCTAAGCTTTGTGTCACTCTGATTTGTCCATTAAGCTGAAACATGGAGCATGTGTCAAAGGAGTTTAGCCACATTAGCTTCTGGGATGACTGACTGGATCAAGACGATGATTAATAATAATAACACATTAGACTTTTACAGCGCTTTTCTGAGTATACTTCATTATTTGAGTCCACTTTAGGCTTTCTCTTTCACTCTTGTATTTAATTATTCCTTAGAATTGTCTGAGCTTCTTTGACACCCCCTGGTTGGTGGAGTTTAGAGGCCTTGTATCCATCTGTCTTCTGGTTCTTTTAATGCTTTGTTGCCTGTCTTGAAAGTGACTCTTTAAGGCCTCAATGTCACTGTAAATGAGGGTTGATCCTCAATGGTCACTCGAGGATAAAAAAGAGGTTGAATTGAAAAATAAAATTGCATATCAGTCTAAAAAAAATGTAGTTCTGCTGTTACATAAAAATGCTGCTTAAATCTCAATAGTACTATCAGTAAAGCAGCATTAAATGATCTAAACTCAGCCAAAGGTCCTTCTGAATGCAATACGAGTACTTTTGCTTTTACTTTGACAACATTTTTCCAATAGGTCTGCACTTTCACTTACATGTAAGTTACATAAATTTCCAGTTTTGACCGCTCTTATGGAGTACTTTCGGTATTTGCACTTACACTTAATTAAAGGGTCTGAATACTTCTGCACCACTGGAATAGTACCAGCCTCCAAACAAGATGAAAACACAATGCACACTCTAAGAAATCAAACTGTAAAAAATAAAGTAAATGTTTTGTTTCTTTGAGTCAAAGCAGAAAGAGAAGCACAAAAACCTTGAACCACGTGAGCTGTATTATCTGTAACTGCTTTCTCGCACTGAATAAGAAGCTGTAAAAGTGTTAATCATGATCAATGCATAAAATCTCTATTTGCTATTTGAACATTAAAAACTCATTTCAGTCGCACATCTTTCTAAAACCTTGTTACCGCACGTTATTCTCTGTTTTTTGCTCCACTTTTTCAGACTAAGAGCAGTTTACCCGCAAGGTTGTTACCACGGCAACACCAGAACGGGAGGCTGAGACGGGGATTCCATGACAACCGACTCCACACCACCTCCTTTAGCCTCCTGCATTGTGTGCCCCGAGGTTGCAGTGTTAACTGATAATCAATGAGCACTTTCAGCTATAATATTGTATCTCTTGGAATCTTTACTTCAAATGGAATCGGCAGATATGGAAATGAAGAATACCGACAACATGATGCTACCTAAGGCAGCTTGGTTTTTGAGGGGGAAACAGAAGATACTTCAGTACTCATAGCAGTTGTCACTACAAAAAAAATGTATGGGGTGAGACTCAATAAAAAAGAGGATTGTGATGTCCCCTATCAAGCCTTTAGCTATTATCATCTTGTTTTTTGCCCCTGAAAGTGACCATATTTGGACTAGAGGGTGGAGCTCGAGCGGAGCAAGAGGTTACTAAACACTAAGTCACCAGCTACTTTGGTTAGCAGGATGCATCTGTAGTTCCTCACAGAAGCTTTAAAGAGTTGGGAGAGTGATTTAAGTTTGAAGATATTTGCTGTGAGAAGGCGTTAGGGTCAGAGAGCTGAAGCGGTGGCAGTGTGTCATACCTCATAACCTTTCAGAGACGGTCCCACCAGGACAACCGGCCTCATGGAGGGAACCACGTCATAGGGAGGGACGTGCTCAGCCTGGAGGGGCGGGCACACACAGCGACAGTCAAGATTTAATAATAGAAAATCAAGCACACCAAGGTATCTTCTAACGCTCTAGTACGATGTTACATTTGAATTAAAATAAGTGTTTTCATGCTTTCAATAACTGTAACACAGTTTTGATTTCATTTACAGACACATCGTCCTGGAACATGATGTGCTGGTGCGAGCGGTTTATCACTTTTGAGAAGAGTCACTTCTGAGAATTGGTTCCTTCATCTGACTCTGACTCAGATGCAGCAACGTATTAATTTATTCTAACCTAATGACTTTGGCGTGACTAAATCAAAGTACACAGTCTGCTCGTCTATGATCATTGGACTATAAAATGTCAGAAATGTTTCAATGTTTCCTCAAAGCCAAGATGATGTCCTCAAACACTCAAACAAAAGTGTTCAGTTAACAGAGGTCATTCATAGAGGAGAAAAACATAAAAATATTCTGCTTTACCAAGCTAAAACTTAAGTTTACAACTAATGGGTTCATGGATTAATCAGTGCAGCTTCTCTCTATTTTAATAGATTATTACTGTTGTCAGAAGGACATGTTAATTAAGAGCACAGCCTTTGTGCTCAATGTTTAAAAAAGGATCCCCCTCCACCTTCAAAAAACTCTCATCAGTGCTGATCTCCTACTCAGAGACAAGCCATGTTTGATTTAACAGATGTTTTTCTTTCAAAATAAAGTTTTCTATTTGAAGTTTAAGAGGTCCTCGTGCTATTTTATACATTTCAAACATTCATTATTAGTAAACTACTTTCAATGTCATGTTTTACCAAGAATAAGATCAACCAAATAACAAAATAAGATTTTTTCACAAGAGTTTGAATCTTAAATACTAAGTAGAAAAATGCGGGAGTGTGAGTCTTTACTTCATCAAGACATTTTAACGGGAAGGCTCATGTGTGTACAAAAACTTCCCAGGAACTCAAGCTGTTTTGTTACTCACGTGGAGGGGCGTGTCCAGAGGGGTGGCATTGGCCTCCCTTGAAATCTGATTGGCCGCCTCAGGTGCCACCCCAAAATCCAAATCTATGATTAGCTATTGGCCTAATCGGACGAGGGACTTAAGTACTAATCAACTATTCTGGCTGTTTTCAACAGGATAATGGCATTAATAACTCGTGCAGACTGTCTAACTTGAAATGGACCTTATCGCCAATAAATGTATATTTGAGTTTGAGTCCAATAGTTTGCATTCAGTTGTGTATGTAAAATAATGACTTTGTATGTAAATCTTAGTGTATGAGACACTAAAGAATCAAGCTAAGAAAATGTATATGTTGCCAAATTGTTTTACTTACCTATCATTAGTGGGGATAAAAGGTTAAAAATATGAAATGAATTTGCATGTGTGCCCAAAAATGTCACCTCATGCCACCCCTGCATAAGTCAGTGGCAAAGCTGGGCCGACCCAGAAGTCCGGACACGCCCCTGCTCACATGTAAAATGAGCAAGTATTTTAAGATACTCACCACTTTCTGTTTCTGCTTTCCTGCAGAGTTTGGATTTGGCTTAAATGTTCCCGACACCATGTCTCCCAGACTGGACGTAGAGTTCCCACTTGACTTGTTGCTACAATGATATCAGCAAACAGAGAGAGAAAATTGTTAAAATGGGATCCAGCTGTCATCACTTCCCAGGAGTGATTCAGTTACTGACAAAAAAGTCATCAAAGACAATGGGTATTGTTCCTTGAAAATAAATAATATATCACAAAACAGATTTGATGTTTCTTAATTTGCTGTAATATGAACCCCTTAAAGGGGTATTGAAGTTCCTTTGAGCTTAACCTACAGAAGCCCTAAAGGAACATTCAGCTGTACTTTTATTTTACTCTGATTTCCTGTGATAGTGAGTCATCGAGATGTCAAGAAATCAACTCCAAACTAGCGTTGTTATCTTGAGATAATGACACAAATGATCACAATCTCAAGAAAGCAACTGGAAATTACTTGTTATCACAGAAAAAGTAAAACATATGTGTCATCTGACCCAGGCTCCTTATTTTCTAAGTGGTTAGTTTGAGATGAGGACTACGTGTAAATGTTTTCTGTTGTAAAAATAAACAGAAAGAGAAAGAAAAAGAAAAATGACTCTCTCTTCTCTTAATATTAAAACTCAGGAAAGTCTAAGGCACTAAGCATCTCTAATCGCCCTTCCTGGCTGAAACCCATCGTCCCATCTGATGGAAAATTCAGCGCTGGCCAGGATCCAGGCGCACCTCTGAGAGGTTGGACCACACAACACAGCTTGGCCCTCATCCTCCTGACTTCCTCCCTATCTGCTGGTTCTTCCAGCAGCCAGGTCTACTCCTCTCTGAAGTGGCTCCGACCTTAACAAGTCCCAAACTCTCCAACTCTCTTCATCCCTTCTGAGCCAGGCCGTCTGTGCATTTTCAGCTCGCTTCTCATCTAGTCCTCCTCCCTCTCTAACACTCACCCGTGGAAGCGTCCTCTCTTCTGCTCCTGCTGGAGTCGGATGTTTTCCAGCTTCAGAGGGCTCGGGATGAAGCCGATGTCGCATCCTTCTTTCACCAGACGGCCGATCCACCAGTCGTTGTTGTACTTCTGTAGAATGGAGGGAGGAAAAGAGGACATAATACCTTAGGAGATGTACAGACATACCACTAGAGGTGCAGCTAGAGGGGGCGGCACAATCCCACTCAGGAAACCCACATTCTGCCAGGGCGTCTTTTCCATGTGAGCGTCAAATCGGTGGAATTTAATACCGCAATCAATTAGAGAGTCAACATCCTATTATACATTAAAATATAACGTAAAAAACGATTTATTGAGAGCCAACAATGTCAACACTGATGCTGCACCTTCCATGGTAACTTTAATTGTGTCATGTCCTGTGTTGGATATTTGTTGTTTTCCTTACCCAGATTGTATTGTATATATCTGTATTTTTCTAAACTACTGAATGTATGTTAACGGGTAATATTTGATTATATGATGCCGAAGAACATCTGGCAAAGGGACTGCTGATGAAAATTTGCCTTTCGGCTAATTTCCCATTTTCAAGAATTGTACTAATTGCCTTGTTATGCAGCAGTGAATGTATTTTATATTCCACAACACAAACCACAACATAGTAGAAGACTTGTATTAACAGTATAAACACTATAACAGCTACAAAAGTTACATTTAAGAAGAAGCGGTATAATTTGCAATGGATTGTGGGATGTGTAGTTCCTTGACTCAGGACGAATTAAGTGTCTTTCCCAAGGACACATCGGACATGTAGCTGCTGGGGGTCAAACCCCCGCCTTCCCGGTTGAGGGACAGCCAACTTTACCACTGAGCCACAGCCGGCTATCACCATTGCGTCAGATGATGATTCTGTTGTTAACTTTGTATTTTGAGGTATATTCTGATGTAGTGTCCAGTGCTTAAATACTGTAAACTTCTCTTTCCCAGAAATTAGACTGGAAACCACTAACTATTGGTTACATACTAAGATATCAGAGAAAGTGAAACGATCTAGATTAGTCTTAGTGCTAAATAGTATATTAGTTAGATTTCTGTTGAGACCGAGACCAAAGGCTGCCAGATACTTGAAGAGCAATATAATAGAACAACCTTCAATATAAAAGCACATCATGCTGATTTAATTCATAAACTAAATGAAGTGGACCGAAAGGAATCCTCCACACAGTGACACAGGTCTAACATTTCTGGGCAGTGCCCGGCGACTCGTACCTCTTTGATGTGGAGGAAGTCCTTGGCATCAAAGTTGACAGCAGTGCCGGCCACAGGAACATCCTCATCCAGAGCGCCACAGTAGCTGACATTTGTCCTCACAGCGAACGCCACTGCTTTAGTCTGTAAGACAGCAGGGAGAAAAAAAAGTGATCACAGCATTAAGGCAGAACGTGGAAGGTGACCGTGTCAAAGGAATCAGGGATACAGATATTATCTCCAATCACAAAAGATGAAACGTGATACAATTAATCTGACGTAATATTTTTCTTTAAGGCATTTCAATAATGCAACAAAAACAGACACAACAGTGGATACACAGAGATAAGACTGGAGAGTTTCCCTTTGGCAGAGAGAGAAATTTAATTAGCAGTTTGCTCATTAAGCTCCACAATCACTTGCGAGGGATAGGTGTTGATGAAGGGACGCCAACTGAGATCCCTCCTGATGATGGTGGCAGTAAGACCGCGGTGAAGCCACCTCATCCACCAAAGCCAAAAAAACAAAGCCAAAGTTAATGCTTTTAGTTACACCATGGGATTTTCTACTACGACAAGTCAAAAGTGTCTGCAATGAAAAAGTCCTATTGACTAATCAATTCACCAAGAGACAAGAAAAGTTTATCTCGCATCTGGAAAGCAGTCAACAAACTCATTTGTGCACAACAATGTTTATACTAAACATCTCTTATGAAAGTGTGAAGGGAACACAACACCAGTACTAAAGAGATCTCAGCAGAGTCTTTTCTTTTTAGTTCAGCTATAAAAACTTTTTTCCACATCACAGGAAGGTGTGATGTGCTGGGATTTAGAGCATCCACACCTTCAGATTAACTGTGTGGGATGTTAACACATGAAGACAGGAAACATCTGGACAACAACCTTCAATAAACCAAAGGCCAGGAGCTACTGGACCTTACTGGAATCTACACCATTAAGGGGAAAGTGTCACAATATTCCTCGAGAGGTCTCTTACCCTGCCTACCATCTTATGGACCTTCTCCTTTCTTTGGAGGGACGGGTAACTATTAAAACAAGTGAATCAGGGTTCTGCTTTGTGCCCTTAACTTCCAAATCCTCAATCTCTTGTTTTCTCTGTCAATAAGAAAATGTAATGGTCTCCAAAGCGTGTATGACTACAGTGTATTTAGACAATTGGCAGCACTTAATCAACTATTAATTCATCAAAATGATAAAAACCGCCAAATTGCGATCTTGAATAATCCTTAACGTTTCATCTTTAGCAACTGACAAGACAATAAATAATTTAAATACAGAGGGAAAAAGGGAAAAATGTCCAATTAACTCATTATGTAATGGCCTCTACATTTAAACAGCTAATATTGGTATTCAATCAATTCTGAGCTAACACTACCGTGTGAATGCTTAGACTACTGTTAGCTACTTAATGCTAACGTAAACTGCTCTCTAATATTAATCTGTTATCAACCTGAAATATGGCTGAATGTCTTTTCTCCAGACTTTTACTATTGGGTGTTTTTAGTTGAGGATCAGTTTAAAAAGAAGACACAGGATAGAAATGCTTGTACGACTTGTAGACCTGAAAAACAGCAGGACGACAACAGCACTTAAGCTTCCAACCCTGTCAACCTAACCCTGGCATTGGGCCGCCATGGGAATATTGTGAATGCAGACCTACAGAGGTGAAGTCTGTAAATCCAAATCTTGTGCCTTTTGTTTGTGACCTGGGATCAAAACAGTTTCATGTGATGTACAGAACAGTAAGTATCTTGATTGTCTTCGTAGTTCCATGTGATCCTGACCTTAGCCCTCTCGAGCTGAACTGTGGCCTGCTGCTCCCTCTCCTGCCGGCCGCCCTCCTTCTCCTCCTCAAGGGACACATCCGAGTCAGACGGTCGGCTTGTGTACGAGTCAGCTGAGCCCTGGAGAAAAAACAAGATGAAAATTCAATCTTACAAGAAGGGACAAAATGTTCAAGTATTGGCGGAACATTCACAGGGTATGGACACACTTTGTTCATGTGATGCCGATTAAATCTGACATACAAAGGGGCAAAATCAATAATGAAAGATTGTAGTGTGTTACTTGATACGTCCTATCCAAGCCTTAACACATTTGAATGCATAACAAGTGCGGAAGTCTGTGCAAAGAAGTACATCTTTAAAGGAGGCTACAGCAACCACAGGTGTGTGTGTGTGTGTGTGTGTGTGTGTGTGTGTGTGTGTGTGTGTCGCTGTGTCAAACGGCTGCTTGTATTCCTCTTCATACAGGATCAAAGGCAGACAGATTAAAGATGACAACTGGCTGGGAGGGAAGGTTCAGAGGGACGATGTTTTGTTTGTAGCTAACAGGAAACCCTGCTTCATTATTTTGTGTAGCCATGGTAGTCCGAGTGAATATGAATATTGATGACATAGAGAGGGGGGGGACACACTTTTGTCTGTCATTTCACATGAAAAAAAATCTCCAGTGGAGGAAATGGAAAGCTGCGCTGACCTCTGTGGGTTCAGTCTTTTACACTTTTCATCACAAGAATGAAGCTAAAATTGGAGGGGTTTTTTTCGGTCGCATGATTGATAGTAAATTTTGAATTTTGTGGCCATCTTCCTGAATCTATAACTCCTTCTAGGTTATGTAGCCTACTATATAGATTAAGTATTGGTAATCTATATCGTCGTATCGACCTGCTCGTGTCTGTAGCCTAAGCTAAATTCATATAACATTCGGTTAAGATCATAAATATAACAATACGCCATTGTTTGCTTGAAGTTTACAACCTCAGACAAAGTTTCCCCTTTTGGTTTCTGTTGTCTTGTTAAACTAAACTAACCGCCTACTAGCTTAGCATACATTTGTTGAAGCAGCTAGCTGCCAACAGAAGGGGTCCAAAAATGTTTCTACTGTGAGCACCAGGATTTTGTAATGTGTAATTTTTGTGGATATACTGTACAGACCACAATAAATTCAGATCACATCGATGGAAAATATTGGTGATCCTGCTCTTGTATCGAGCAGGATACGTATGTAGCTTGGCTTACGTTGGTCGACCTCACTTAAAATAGATGTGCAATAAGACATTTTGTCAGAGTTTTATGTCTTCCAAAACTATTTTCTTTGCATAGACATTTCAGTGCCAATGCATCAAGTGATTGCTGGCCAATTTACAAATGTATCTCTATGTATACATGTTCCATATATATTGTGAAAAACACCTTCAGCTGTTGCCAGTGTTGATTGTGTCTCTGGGAGCAGCTTTTCACTTTTGCAAAACTTGTTCATGCAGCAGTTTCCAACCTTGAAAATGACACTCCAAAAATATGACTGCAGAGGATGTTACAGACAAGGATACATTAGGCCGACATGTTAGAAATCCCCTTCAAAATAAGATTATAAATCAAGTCACTGGTTATATGTGCAGTGTACTGAATAAGTATGTACGTGTCAGTTCCTCTTGGGCACAGTAAATAGTTTGACCCTCACACCAGTCTCCCTCAGGGTGGAGATCAGTCTTATAACATCACTATCAGTGAAGTCATCTCCTTCCTAACTCACCCACTGCCTCAACCCTCGTCCTTATTAGCTACAAGTCTGCGGCTGATGCGTTAGAGGAGCAATAAAAATGCCCATTCAATCACTCAAGACAGCAACAGAGTGAGAGATACAGAGAGAGGGATTATGAACAGGTGAGCTGAGGAAACTCAGAGTGGAAATATAAACAGAAGCTGCAGTGGATGCACAGGGACACAGCTGTAAAGCGAGTTTTCTTTCAGCAGAGAGAAATTATTACATCTCAAATGTGCTCATCAAGCTCCAGCATCACATCACAGAGAGCCTGCGGAGAAGGGTGGGTGCTATTTAGGAGACGCTGTTTCAGACCCTCAGCAGTGATGATCCCACAACTTCCACAGCACACAGCAGGTGCACAGATTTGAATATTCTATCACAAACCTTATTCTTATCATGTAATCCATGTCTTCAATACATACTGCCTGATTGATGTATTAGAATCAAACAATATGCTCTTTATTCTCCATAAATAAGCAACAGATACCCTACATGTTTTCTTCTTACATGCTATATGCAAAATATAGGTTGTCAAAAATGTCAATACTTTGATTATTTTCAAGACCACGTGTTTCAAATGAAACAATCTCCTATATTTAATGATCAGGAGTATGGAAAATGAAAGATTTTTAGTCATATTTCTAACCAAAATCTGCATCAGAGAAAAAGAGAGCAGTGGTGATTCATTCATTCATTCAAATTCTGATGTTTCTCGAGTCCTTTTGGTGTCTCTAAAGGATCAAATGTGACGTCAATGTCTCATACAAATGGAGAAGGCGGCACTGTCTAAATCCCACAATTACACTGAAACGTAGACAGTGTGCAGGAGTTTGCTTGCAATTTTTGGCAATGAATAACATAAATATAAATCCTTGTTTAAGTTGCAAATGAACTTGTTGTGATGGCAATTGAAAACATGTATCAATATTTTTGATTTTTACTGATATCTTCTTGAGGTTTAAAATCCTGGTAGCATGACAACCCTATGCTACATACAAGCTAAATAAAGAGTTTTGAAATGGATTCATATTCTAAGTTTAAACATCCTCCCCCCCCCCCAAAAAAAAAAAAAAAACATAACAAAGGAGGTATTTTGGCTTTTAACACACCAAAGTTGGAGCACCAGTTTAGCTCAGTGTTTAGAGCATGTGGCCTGCAGTCCTCGTCGCAGCCTCCATGTGTTCGTATAGGACCACGATCCCCTACATCATCCCCCACTTTCTCCTCCGAACATTTCCTGTATCTATTAAGCTGTCTAATAAGGGCAAAAATATAACTTAACAAAGTGGAGCCATGTGAGTGGATTCCTGCCTAATTGACAATGAATGCATGAATAATCCTGGCTGAATCTACCATGCATGCTTTAACAAACCATTTTCAAACAGCGCTGACCTATTTGTCACATTATTCTACACACAACAATGATGCATATGAAACCATGGCATCTTGGCCCAAGGAACTTCACCCTTGGCTGACCGCTCCTGTAGCTGTTTGTGTTCCATATGGGAGAGCTGGCTTCAGGTCAGTTTTTACAAATGTACATTGTAAAAAAAACATCTCTGTGCATTATTTTCTGTACAGTGTAGTGGTTGCAGATATTTTAGCCCTATGTTTTTGTTTAATTCCTCAAATACTGTATCTGTTTGGTAAAATGTAGTACTTTTACCTTTGAGCTCATTAACTCAGGGCTTTTGGATCAATAGTGAATCCTCTGATTTATTTAGTGTTTTAGTCAGTCAATGCCATATTTCCATCAAAAATACCTGAAACCTTTAGTCCCAGGAACTTCTTTCTAAAAGAACTAAAAGGTGCCTTCAGCCCATTGTTGACCCACAAAAGATTATTGAAGCTAGTCTGCTGACATGTGAAAAAGTACAAGTTGATTTGAAATGTTTCTTGCTTTGCTTGCAACTCTACAACAACGATAGAGATCTATATATTCTCCAGTACATTGCTGTGAGTACTGAACTAACCAGACATTTTAAGAGCCCTAAACCGTTTTTGGTACCTGAAGACGGTTTTGCAGTGATAATGCAGTTACTATATTGGATGTGACCAAAGACTGTATTTAAAGATATACAATGGGTTTCCATGTCTTCTTGTTGATTTAAAATGAAGCCTATACAGCCCTGTGACAGGCGCTGACATATTGAGCTAGTCAGGATTAGGCAGAGTCTGCAGGTACCGACTGGTGGAGCCACGACCAGAACCCATTTAAATGAGCAGGAACGCGGGACCAAAAGTTTCAAATTGGTTAAACTTGCACATAACTATTCAGACTTTTTATCATTGTAAAAAAATTCTCTACAGTGATTATAGACGGTGGGATACATTTTCAAGAATATTTCTAAATCTATTTCTACAATTATATAGCGTTTTCATATTGAAATGACAAAAACAATGCTCCAACACACTCTCCAATAATCCTACACATGTCAAAGCTACATGCCAGGGGAAAGACTCTGTTAACGTCGACTGAGCCTTCAGATGCATCACGTACATCAAGCTCAAGCGTACCTGGGTCCTGAATGTGCTTTCCAACTCTTATTGTTTGGATTAATAAATGTTTTTTGTTCTACTTCCAACAGATGCACTGACCTGACAGTTCGTTTGTTTGCCACCAAAAACACACATCAGTACATGATGTAATTTACAGACTTAAAATAATTCACATCACAGCATAGGTTTTCACTTTCTAGTCCAGTTAGCTCTTATTCTCCCTTCTATCCCTCTGATGGAGTGAGATATTTCCGCTCTGTAACACACGCTACACTACGGCTGAGTAATCCCAGTATTAGCATAAACACTGGACGCATGCACCACAGGCAACAAACAACAAGCTCAGTGTATATACTCTCTGGGGTCTGCTTGCTTATTACTACTGTACTCATCAGCAGTGCTTTCTAATACAGGTACGAGGAAAGCACTGTGTGTGCAGTCGCTTACAGGCTGCCATACAGAGCAAGGTCAAAAGCTCGTTATTACTTTCCTCAACTGCTATTAAATGAGAGAAAGGACTGAGAGATACTGCAACTACAGAAAAAAAATCGCACAGGGCACTGTTGGCGCAGTGGTTAGTTTGCTCGTCCCATGTATGGAGGCTATAGTCCTCCAAGCTGCGGCCCAGGTTCGAATCCGACCTGTGGCTTCTTTCCCACATGTCATTCCCTACTTTCTCTCTTTCCGTGATTTCCGACTCTCTCCACTGTCCTATCCCTCCAATAAAGGCACAAAAAGCCCCAAAAAATAAATCTTCAGTGACATCAATAGGGTTATAATATATTGGCCTCACAGTGTGTGTAACCCACCTGTCCACAGTCATACACTCTCCGTGTTTACCTGTCATTTAGTCCGAACA